AGGAATTACTATAGAATAACGGTACATAGAAAATAAATATAAATAAATAAAAAAGTAATATTATTTGCTATCATAACAAAGTGTAATTATATTCCCATGTAGAAACTAGACTTCATAACACATTATTTCCTAATAGCGAATAAACTTCCCATATCATTATGAAATCATCTGGTTACATAAGTTGATAAACATGTAAATATTTGTGTCTCGGTATTACTCCTGTCTCTTATACACATCTAGATGTGTATAAGAGACAGGTCTAGTTTCTACATGGGAATATAATTACACTTTGTTATGATAGCAAATAATATTATTTTTGTATGTATTTATATTTATTTTCTATGTACCGTTATTCTATAGAGATGTGTATAAGAGACAGGTCTAGTTTCTACATGGGAATATAATTACACTTTGTTATGATAGCAAATAATATTATTTTTGTATGTATTTATATTTATTTTCTATGTACCGTTATTCTATAGAGATGTGTATAAGAGACAGGTCTAGTTTCTACATGGGAATATAATTACACTTTGTTATGATAGCAAATAATATTATTTTTGTATGTATTTATATTTATTTTCTATGTACCGTTATTCTATAGAGATGTGTATAAGAGACAGGTCTAGTTTCTACATGGGAATATAATTACACTTTGTTATGATAGCAAATAATATTATTTTTGTATGTATTTATATTTATTTTCTATGTACCGTTATTCTATAGAGATGTGTATAAGAGACAGGTCTAGTTTCTACATGGGAATATAATTACACTTTGTTATGATAGCAAATAATATTATTTTTGTATGTATTTATATTTATTTTCTATGTACCGTTATTCTATAGAGATGTGTATAAGAGACAGGTCTAGTTTCTACATGGGAATATAATTACACTTTGTTATGATAGCAAATAATATTATTTTTGTATGTATTTATATTTATTTTCTATGTACCGTTATTCTATAGAGATGTGTATAAGAGACAGGTCTAGTTTCTACATGGGAATATAATTACACTTTGTTATGATAGCAAATAATATTATTTTTGTATGTATTTATATTTATTTTCTATGTACCGTTATTCTATAGAGATGTGTATAAGAGACAGGTCTAGTTTCTACATGGGAATATAATTACACTTTGTTATGATAGCAAATAATATTATTTTTGTATGTATTTATATTTATTTTCTATGTACCGTTATTCTATAGAGATGTGTATAAGAGACAGGTCTAGTTTCTACATGGGAATATAATTACACTTTGTTATGATAGCAAATAATATTATTTTTGTATGTATTTATATTTATTTTCTATGTACCGTTATTCTATAGAGATGTGTATAAGAGACAGGTCTAGTTTCTACATGGGAATATAATTACACTTTGTTATGATAGCAAATAATATTATTTTTGTATGTATTTATATTTATTTTCTATGTACCGTTATTCTATAGAGATGTGTATAAGAGACAGGTCTAGTTTCTACATGGGAATATAATTACACTTTGTTATGATAGCAAATAATATTATTTTTGTATGTATTTATATTTATTTTCTATGTACCGTTATTCTATAGAGATGTGTATAAGAGACAGGTCTAGTTTCTACATGGGAATATAATTACACTTTGTTATGATAGCAAATAATATTATTTTTGTATGTATTTATATTTATTTTCTATGTACCGTTATTCTATAGAGATGTGTATAAGAGACAGGTCTAGTTTCTACATGGGAATATAATTACACTTTGTTATGATAGCAAATAATATTATTTTTGTATGTATTTATATTTATTTTCTATGTACCGTTATTCTATAGAGATGTGTATAAGAGACAGGTCTAGTTTCTACATGGGAATATAATTACACTTTGTTATGATAGCAAATAATATTATTTTTGTATGTATTTATATTTATTTTCTATGTACCGTTATTCTATAGAGATGTGTATAAGAGACAGCGTTAAGTTAAAGGCTTAAAAGATTAGTAATCGCAAGTGAATAGATGATATGTATAATACCAGGATTAGAATACATATAATTTGACGAAGTGACAGTACCTTTTTTTGAAACGCTTTTTTGGCAGCCAATATACCATAATAGTAGTAATTTAATAGTATTTATATAGACAAAATACAATATCCCTCGGATCGAAAAATGGAGACACCAATTTATGTAATTACAGTTCGACTATAATCGAATATCGATGTACATAGAATAAAATATCATAAACCGCACAGTCGTTACATCAAATAATGACAAATTTTTGAAATGTATAAAATTTGATTTAAATGATCAGTTTAGAATTACATTCAAATTTCTTATCACGTTTATATCGTACACAGATTACTGACAGGGGATGTACTCATGACTACAGTGCCAGGACTTGTACATAACGAACATAACGAACGATTTCACTTTGCGTTGACCTGCACTTGACGTAATTGACATCAGAGATTCCGTTGACATACCTAAACGGGGATGATAAGAAATGATACTGAAAGTTCTCAATTACTATTTTCATTTGACGATGTCTTTTTTTTATGTACAATTAAAGTATAGCTATCCTATCATTCCTTAAATAATTTACAAATTCAATAAAAATTCTATTTCCATTAAATGATTTAAAAATATTTAAAGATTTCTTAAATTGTCGTTCTATCAAAGTTTAATAAATAAACTGTTTTCACTATGAATTAATTATGTATATGCGATTTGATTGGTCAAATTACTCGAGCAACTAAGAGAATAGTTTTTTTACATGTATGATTATTATTTTTTATAAATATTGCTAATATGTTCGTGCCTTTAATTAAAGAAAATTAAGAACTTAACAGGTAACCGGTAACAATCTGTATTTACTTATGACAGACAAAATATAAAAATGCAAAGTCAATCATCATAAAAATAGAAAGGAGGTTTAACAAATACCTAGATTCATTTAAAAAAACTGATTTAAAAAGTAAGTAAAAGTAACAAACGAATTGTAGTATCCGTTCAACAACTGCACAAAGTTTATACAATAGTCTCTAGTCCACCCTGTTCCTAGTCCAGGACTAGTTTTATCCAGGAAAGTAGGAATGCGAGAATTACCCATCACAAATAGGATTGGATGATGTCAATGGATTTCCATTAGAATCGTCCAATCCCATTTATGAGGTCTCTTCTCTGTCACTTGAAGCAGTTCTGAACTCACCTGAATTCACCATTGAATACACTAGACATCTATGGACACACTGGCCTTGAGTAGAAATTCCACCAACAGTCAGGATGCTGGCTCACCATATTAACCAATATTAATGTGGCATAGCTCACAAAAAATGCTCTTTAATTGCCCATAATTACTCGCTTATTCTTTTCAAGAAATATCCAAAAAACTTTTTGAGACGCCTAGTGACTTTTATGAGAGGCTGGAGATTTTTAAAAATACAAAAATTCTGAACTAATGTATAAAATGTGCTGTATGACCTACCAAAGAATCTAACCAATTGCTCATAATTCCACGGGCGACGATTTTATTAATAAACAATTTAATTTTCAATAAATAAATATGTAAGGAACTAGGAGCAGGTGCCGTTCATGGTTGTCAAATATCAATTGGCATAAATACTCAAAAAATTACTTCAACTCAATGTGCAGTAACTTAAACAATTGCTCTTTAATTGCCCATTGTTGATCTGTAATTGCTTTTAATTGCGCTTTCGTAGCTTTTCAGAAATTTCCAAAAAACTTCTTAGGGGCGTCTAGGGACTTTCACGAGAAACTGAAGACTTTTAATAACGCGAAATTTATGAAATAATACATAAAACGTGTTGTATGACCTACCAAAGAATTGCTCTTTTTTGATGATTATTATTTCATAATTACTTTTAATTGCTTACTTCTACTTTTCGAGAAAGTGCCAAAAAATCTCCCTGAAGGGGAGAATCATTGTACAATATCGTAAACAATTGTTTTTTAATTATTCCTTATCGTTCCTATTTTAATTTTAATTGCTTCCAAAATAATGTTGATGACAGTTATAGGTTATACCGACTCAATAATTGTCCCCTATTTCATTGAACAATGTTTCATTGAACAATTAGTTTTATTTGCCCTCTTTAACATTTCATGAAATTTAAAGACAACCACAATACCAGTTCCTTTTTCTAGGTTAGATTAGATCGACATGCAGAAGTTGTTTCTTTTAGGTACGGCGCGCTCGCCTGCCACTCTGGCACAAAAATTGTTCACGACGATTTCTACTACGATACTGTTTAATGATACCATTCGAAAGAGGAAGGTTCAATACAGTACGCAAATGTAAGACCTTCATCCAAAAAAATCATTCAATGACATATAACTGGTTGGATTTCATGGCTTCAGCACCATTAATTTTTACAGCGTTTTTTAATTTTTACAATGTAATAATAAAATTTTGATAATTAAATTAAAAACTGTTTTCAAGATTTATTTTCCATATTTATCGTCGATCTGAAATTATTCCAACGGGAGTCAGGAGCCCTCGCAGTATCAATCGGACAAGTCACTCTAACGATTAACACATACAATGTAATAGATACTCATAGATACTCTATTACAGAGCACTAAATCTTTATCGTTCTTACTATAGTACTTACTCATACTATTTATTATTCAAATAAAGCGCGCTATCACGATTATGCGGATTATTAAGATGGCAGCAATCTAGGTTCGGGCGATATTACACCGGAAGTACCAGGGGAAAGGAAACCCTATATAATCGCCAGCCAATCATAGCGAAGCACTTTCTTGCCTTCGCTACGTTCGTGAATGTAGCAATGTAGGAATTACTGTATTGACTTGTAAAATTTCAATATTGTATTACCACTATTAGCCCAGAGTGATGCACGAGTTTGGAGTTATACACAGTAATACCTCAGGTTTTGCACAATTTTTCTATTTCCCTTAGCTTTTGCAAGCATCTCCACCATTTTATTGGACATCCAAGCAGCAGTGAATACTGTCCTAACATTGAATCGTCAGCCAATCAGAGCAAACCCTGGGTTTGTGATACATGATGTGTTGCCTTTCGTTATCACGTGATCAATTCCTCATTGGTCCATTTTGTGCCAAACGGCGTTATTCAGAGCTTTCGTGAAAATTCGTCCAGTTATCAATCGATCGAATAACATTCTAAACGTTAACTTTACTCTCTTTAGCTACTTTGGTGAGGATAGTTTGTGCCGCGTAAGACCGTTTTCGTTCGACAATATAAAGGTGTAATCTCGAAAATGGCATGGTTACGCAGTCGTGCTGTTTTCCAGACATGTCGACGCACATTTTTCCGTAATTCAACATGTTCGAATGCTAAAAAAGGTAAGCCATAGATTCTCTCTGAATAAGTGTCAAGAATATTTTTCATTTAAGCTTAATTCGTTTTCATATTACGTAATCTGATAACACAATTTATTATTTCTTTATGATTATTTCTCGTGATTATTTCTTGTCACAGATGATGAGTTGGCTGATCCTCTCGATCATGCTACTGGTTTGGAAAAGCGGGAATTACTTGCTGCAGCGGCTGGCAATTTTGTAAGTTTCAAGATAATAGAACATGTATCACTTTTGGTATAAATTTTATCTTTATCACACTATTGAAAATATTGATCTTAAGTAAATTAATATCACATAAATATTGCATAATTGTATTCATTTATTATAATATAGTATCATATTTAAAACAATATTACTTTAAAATATGAAATTTGTAATAAATTTTACAACACAATTTATGAATATGATATTAAACTTAATAGTTTCTGTGAGTTATTTTTTGATTAATATTTTAGGTTGACCCATTGACAGCATATTGCATATATACTCTCATAGATCTATTAATATATATATATGAAAAATACAATTAACTCAATACATTTTTATCAATATATTATTAGATCATGTAATATGATAATAAAATGTATATTTTGTGTTTTAAAAATCAATTCTTCTTTCTCTTTAAATAATCCAAGATTTTATGTTACATGACTCGATAGATTTTGTTTGTTTGTTCATTATAAACCTATTTAACTGAATTTCAAATGTTAAAAATTATTTTAATGTTTCCTCATTGTCAACAATGCAATTCATCCAGCCATAATGGTTATTACACAAATATGATTATATATGATGCATGCAGATAGTTTAAAATTAGAGATCAAAAGGTTAATAAATTCTTACCTTTAGTATATAAGAATGTACAGTTTGATAATTTTTTAATTTTAGGACCCATATCATATGAAGGCTATTCAAATATCGCCAGATAGTTCAAAGGCTTGCCCAAATTTAGTACCAAGTGCATTCAAAAGCCGAATTGTTGGATGTATTTGTGAACCAGATGCTGCACATGTAAATTGGATGTGGTTACATGATGGCAAACCTAGGCGCTGTGAATGTGGTCATTGGTTTAAACTTACTGAAAAAGCTCCTCTTTAATGTGGTTTCAGATTAATTAGTGGATTATTTAAAGCATAGAATTAACATAATATTACATTAACGACTGCCGTTATTTATTATCCTTTCATGTCCTATCTTTGTATTTTATAAGATAATGCATTAGTGACTGCAGGAATTAAATAATGGAATTTAAAATAAATTATATAACTCATGGAAATGTTTACTTATATAAGAGAAACAATATTTATATTATAGTTACTATAGTTATAGTATTTCTGTGAAGAAATTTATTCTATAAAGTAAAACATTGAAAACTAATTTTTCATTAAAATTGCTTCATCTTTCAATATTTAGTTATTTAAATCAAGGATTAAA